CCAGCACCTTCGGGGAGGCTCCATCTGGCAGTTTAAGTTTTTTTTTTTTTTTTTTGTTTTTTTTTTTTTGTTTTGTTTTAGTTGCTGTGTGCCAAATTTGGTAACATTGGGGCCATTGGAATTTCCTCTGGTCAGATTTCTGAAATTTCTTTTTAATTGGAATGTTGGTGAAATTTCATGAAAGGGCACTTTTTCTGCCCTTCAAAGTGCACTTTTGCCTTGCTGTTTTATAGGTCCTTGCTGTTTTATAGGTTTTTTAAGTTTTTTATTTCCAATTTCTTTTTTGTAAGTAGTTAGTATGATCTCCCGTCTTTTTTATAGGGGTATCTTCAGTAGAGTCCCTAAAACGAGTTATAATTGCACTATGGGGCAAGATACGGTTTGCAATTGCACTTAGGGCACCCTACCCGGCCAGAAAGCTGGGTTCAGTGGGTTGTATACATTGCCCCAAGAACTGCAATTCCAGACTGTATCCTGGCCCATAGTGCAGTTATAAGTCATTTTCGCGACTCCCGTGTAGTTTCCCCTTTTTGATAAATGGCATGAGAAGTTGTCTGAAAATTGAGGCCTCTGTTAACAGCCTCTCAAACACGTCGGCATTTTCACAAAAATAACAAATAATAAATAAGACACCTCAAGCCCGACGCCCTTTCAACAAAACAGAAAAAGCAACCATCCTACAAACACGTAGGCCTGTTCTCAAAAAATAATAAACAAGATATCTCTTTTTTTATATATATATAATTGTATTAGAAGGGCCCAGTGCCCAAGGCAAGTTACATCAGGGGTGTGGTCCCATTAGCAGTATGATAGGAGTGTGGCGGACGCAGTGTGACACTGAGTGGCAGCAGCCTGACAGGTTCATTACGAATTTCTGGGGTGAGAAAACAGGAGAAAGGCAAGAAAAAAAAAAAGAAACAGAGACCTCCCACCTGAAATCACCGCAGAGTGCTTCCCAGCCATCAGATCACAAATGATCTGATGGCGGTGGTTGCAACAACAGTGCAGAAAGTAACTGCCACATTTTCTGGAATCAACTCAACTTCTGTCAGCAGTGATCCTGACGCCCTCCATATACTCCGTGATTGAAGGAGGGCTCCACCCAATGAGATAATTGCACAACAGCAAGCAAAATACTGAAAATGTTCTACCCAGTGGGCCTATGGCCAAACCCGCTCTCTTTTGGGGTTGGCCATGCCCCCAACGGATTGAAAAGATTTTGGCGGGAAGCTTCCTTTGCACCGGCATGCCCATTGTTAAGGAGAGGAGGAGGGGAACCAAGATCTCCTTACTTTTTTAGGGTAATACATGTAAACTACTGACCGTGGGATCACCAGTACTGCACGGCAGGATTTGGGTCACTCAACTGCCACACAAACTCTTTTCTATCCTATCCGGTTGCTAGTGGGACCATGCCCCAGCACAATAGCTAATAACTCAAGCCCGTCGCCATTTCAACAAAACAGGAAAAGCAACCATCCAAAAAAAGAAAAAAGAAGAAAAAAAAGAAAAGAAAAAGCAACCATCTTACCAGGAGGAGTTCCGGCGGTTTGACTTGTTTTGGGTCTCGGCCTTTTCTCGTTTGGGACCGTCAGGGCCGATCTTCAAGCATCATAGGTTTTTTCCAGTTGCAGCCTTCAGTCCACCGGGAGGATCAAGGGTGCTGCTGATGGTGTTTTATTATTATTATTATTATTATTTTTTATTTTTAAACAGAACAACCCGAGGCGGTGGTAGTGGTGCTGGTAAGAGCAGACACAGCTATCACTGTCGGGGAGACTCCATCTATTGGTGGGGAGCAGCACCTGCTGGAAACTGTATCTTATACACATCTAGATGTGTATAAGAGACAGGCTATGTTATCTGAAGGCTATGTGTGTATGTAGCCCGTAGGCAATATATAGTTCTTTTTTTTTAAAAACAGAACAACCCGAGGCGGTGGTAGTGGTGCTGGTAAGAGCAGACACCGCTATCACTGTCGGGGAGACTCCATCTATTGGTGGGGAGCAGCACCTGCTGGAAACCGGGTCCAGCGTCCCTGAACAGCAATTTTTCCTTGTTTATACAGATATTTGAATGCAACACCGGTAGCCTCTTGGACCACCCTCGACGGAGGCAGTTCGTGGGTGAGGCCACAGGCGTGCTCAGTGTGCAAAGTTTTGCCTACATGACAGCTATATTCGGGCAGCAGTTATCCCAATACCTAAGGTTGCTGTAGAGGTGGGTTACTAGACGGATGGCAGTCACCCACAGTACTCGGCCATTCGGTTGTTCAGATGAACCCCTCTGAAGCCCCCACCCACCCTTCCTCTTATCTTTTTGCCCTGGCGCACCCCCACCCCCCTATCTAGCATCAAGGGTCCACCGTCTACGTAGACAGTCTCAGGTGGTAATTACCGAGGATGGAAGATGGTCTTGCTGGTCCTCCCTGTGCTGCCTCCAGGCCCAGCAACTGTATGAGTGATGGGTGACTGACGGGTCGCAGCAGGTTGTGTGGCTTCTCGTGTGGCAGCACCCTCAGGAGCCCGACCAGTTGCTGCTGTCGTCGCATATGCGAATTTGCGCACGCGACATACAGGGTCAGCCGGACTCTGCAGAGGTGGTCTTTTCCTGGCGGATTTGGCGAAGCGGTCCTGCCCACCCCCGATTTTCCTGCATTGTGTGGGCCAACCGCCGACCCTCACACTCTCTTCTGTATGATCTGGCATCATCTATGGCCTTTTCTTTTCTCCTTTTATCTGGATCGGCCCCCTGTGCAATAAGCTACCTCAAGGCCGTCGCCCTTTTCACACACACAAAAAAAGATCCTGCGGCCTAGCCTGAGCTCAGTTGGTAAGGCATGCAAGTGGTATTGACAAACTACTTCCTGAACCCGTGCTATCTTTCGTACCCTTTTTTTTGCTTGTATCATACCAACCCCATAAGAACCCCGTTTCGTTTTCTTGATTTCGGGTGCCGCGTTTTGGGCCCCCATCTTTCGGAAGCTTTTACGATTCCCGGGTTCTGCTTTTTCTTTTTGCAATTCGGGAAATACATAGGAATTTACGTGCGCCTTAGCGAGCGCACTGGGAATTGGGCCCGGCAGTTGGGAATTCCGGGATAAGCGGAACGTCGACGTGTCCTTTGTGTGTGTGAATGTTCTCGGTCGCGTTGGGGAAAACTCTCGGAATTTTGTGGGGATACGAATAGGCGTAGGACTTTCTTTTCCGGCGTCGCTCTTTCGCGCGCGGATATGGTGATTTCAATTTTGAATTGGTTTAGGATGTAGGCAAGCTGTAACTGTTTCGGTGCCTTTTTCTCTTTTTTTGTTGACGGCGCCGTGCATGCAAAGTTTTCTCCTCTCTGTCCCCCGCATCGCTCTCTCCCGCGCTCCTTTTTCCTTCCTCCTCCTCTTTCTCTCTCCTCGTAACTGTTTTTCTCCCTCCCTCTCTCTCCCGCTCTGCTCTTTGCGCGCCCATTTCCCTTTCTTGATCATCTGAATCTTGGACCCGTCTTGCACTACTTCTCGCACCTTTTCTTTTCTCGCCGTTCGAGCAAAGCTTGCGAAGTCCGGTCGATCCTTCAATTACTCTCGCCCACCAATCAGACGCGTGGTACGGTAGGATTTGCCTATTGCGCGAAAAGTCTGATTGGCCAATTGCCGAGTTTCGAAGGATCAGCATGGCTTCTATAGCGCGCTTCTCGCAAAGTCTTCTCCTCCTGCTTCTCTTCTTACACTTCAACTTTCCACCGGCCTTCTCTCTCCCTTGTCTCCCTCCTCGCCGCTATAAATTCCGCAAACGCGCCCGGAAATCTCTCTTATGTTCTCGACTCCTGAGCCAGCTTCCGGGAAGCAGTGGCTAGGCAGAGTTTTGATGCGAGTCGGAAAGTCCTGTCAGGCTGTCGATAGGCTGGCCGATTGCGCACTTGATTGCCACGACGGACTGTGGGATCTGGGTGAACCGCGTCGAGTTTACGTCAGCGGGGTGACGATCGCAGTGGTGGGAGGTAGCACGCGACGGCCGGGATCGTCGGTGCGGGTATGAGGATCAATTATTGGAATTGAGTAGGTGATTGGCCCGGGGCCATATTGGAATTAACGGCGAATGCGCCTTTGTTGTTGCAGACCTTTATCTCTGGCGTGAGTGCACGGCGACAACGCCGAACTTCCTCCTTTTCGGATCTTGTCATCTCCTATCTCGACTTTCCTCCCTCATCCCCCTCTCTCTCCTCTATCTTTGAATGATGATGTGTCTCGGTGT